AAGCGTTGAAAATGTTAGAGGATGATTACAAGAGACTTGAGAAAGAACTACAAAAATCACCATTAAAAAAAGACGTGAAAATACAAATGGATATACCCTGTTTCTCCAACAATACAGCCTCCCCCAATAGGAAGTCCCAGCATGTTTTATAGGCATGAAATGAAATTAAGCCCCTCCCCCCAAATTAAGGCCTATATTAAAACATGCGAAATGAGGGGAATGGTGGCGGGGCTTGCCGTTAGGAAATACTTTTGTTGCACACCCGGATATGGTGCTGCCTGCGTTGACCCCGATACGAAGTGCCCCACCAACGCCGAGGTCAACATCCAAGCTGTCGCCACCCGCCCGAAGATGCAAGGGGGGGAATTAAGTCACCCCCGAAAAGACGGCCTAGCCATTTTTTCGGGGCTCAAAAAAAAATAAGACCCGGCCTTATTATATGAGAAACACGGTAGTTAAACACAAAATGGGACTAATGGAAAAAGAGGAACTAGCACAGAAAATTAAAAATGCTAAGCAAAACTATTTTGAAGATGCAAATAAGCCAGGCAGATGGTTAGCATATAAATTGAAAAAAGAGAAAGAATCAAGAAAAATAGCTCAACTGACAGATGACCGAGGGTAAACCTGTTATGGAAACACAGAGAAGAAAAAAATTGTACAGGACTTTTATCGGAAGTTATATGAACAACAGATAATAAAGGAAGGAAGATTAAACAATATCTACAGAAAGCAAATTTGCCCCCGATACCAAAAGATATTGAAATGATGTTAGAAGGAAACATAACGATGATGGAACTAATGGAAGCAATTAAAAACAAAATAATGGAAAAGGCCCGGACGGATTGCCAGCTGAGTTTTATAAGACATTTCAGGAGCAGTTGAAGTTTGCTTCTGGAAGTTATGAATGAAGTTATGTTAAAAAAGAGGACACCTAAATCATAGTCAGAAGCATATATTACACTTGTGCCAAAGGAGGAAGCGGACCCGCAACTAATTAAGAACTATCGACCCATTTCCTTATTGAACTCAGACTATAAAATTTTTGCTTCAATAATGGCAGAAAGACTCAAACGATATTTAAATAATTTTATTCACCCCGATCAGAATGGATTTCTACCAAAGAGACATATTAAAGATAATATGAGAACTATCCTGGACACATTGGAATACTATGAGGCACATCCTGAAAAACAAATGGCCTTGATATTCTTAGATGCATAGAAAGCCTTTGATAATGTAAATTGGCGATTTATGTTATTACAATTGGAACAGATGGGCTTTGGTAAGAAATTTATTGAAGCCATAGAAGCTATATATCATGATCAAACAGCAAAGGTAATGATTAATGGGGAATTAACAGAATCTATTGCTATAAAGAAAGGTACAAGACAAGGTTGCCCGCTGTCACCTCTGTTGTTTGTGTTAACATTAGAAGTGCTAACTAGAGATATAAGATAAGCGAAAGAAATAAAAGGAATGAAAATTAAGAAAGAAGACTACAAATTACAAGCATTTGCAGATGACCTGGTTTTTATATTAGAAGACCCCCTTGGCAACAGTGACTAGGTTGATAGAAAAGATAGAGGAATATGGAGTGGTAGCTGGTTTAAAAATAAATAAAGATAAAACAAAGATTCTGACGAAGAATATGCTAGTAAAACAGAGGGAAGAATTGGCAGAAGTCCTGGAAATCCAGGTCACAAATAAGGTTAAATACCTGGAAATATATTTGACAGCAAGATGTGGCACACTTAAAGAGAATAATTATAATAAACTCAAGCAACAGATTGTGACAGACTTGGCAAAATGGGAAAACTTACAATTATCATTAATAGGGAGAATATCAACAATTAAAATAAATATTTTACTCAGAATTTTATATTTGTTCCAGACAACTCCAATTAGATTAGGGAAAGAGTATTTTGATGAGTTGAATAAAATAGTGCTGAAATATATCTGGCAGGAGAAAACAGCAAGAATAAAATTAAAGTTATTACAAGATGTTAGAATAAGAGGTGGGTTCGGTCTGCCAAATTGGGAGTTATATTATCAAGCGACAACTCTGATGTGGGTCAAGGAATGGATTACATTGAGAAATACTAGACTATTGACACTTGAAGGACATGATTTGTTGTTGGGTTGGCATGCTTTCCTATGGTACAAGGGAACTAAAACACATGGATATTTTAGAAGACATTATATACGAGAGGCTTTAATATTAATTTTGGGGAAGATTAAAAGGCAACACTATTTGAAAATTCCAGTCTGGCTATCAACTATAGAAGCGTTTTCATATCCACTGATATGTAAAATGGAACGAATAGTTAGATATGGCGAAATTATGAATGAAAAGGATGAACTTAAATCTATGCAAGAACTGGAGCAACGACGTATAAGGATGAATTGGTTTTCATATGCGCAAATACATTCTAGATATGATAAAGATCTCAAAACAGAAGGTTTTTATGATAAACTGCTTTAGATAAAATTTTAACAGGTACTGATGAAAAGGTGATTAAGAAATTATACGAATATTTATTAGAGGTTAAATTAGAACAAGTTAAAGAAACTGATTGCATGGGGGGAAAATTTTGGATACGGGATTGACTTAGATGGCAAAAACTATGGTCTCAAAATTATAAAATGACAACGTCAACTGCATATAAAGAAAATTTGTATAAGATATTTTACAGGTGGCATCTTCCCCCAACGAGAATAGCAAGAATGTTTAAGAATAAATCCGAAAAATGTTGGAAATGTCATCAGATACCTGGCTCATTTCACCATATGTGGTGGACATGCGCAGAGGTGAAAAAATATTGGACTACAATCCACACATGGTTGGAAAAAATGACAAAAAGTCATACTGATTTTAAACCAGAAATATTTTTATTGGGTATTGTACCAGATATACAGTAGAGAACTGATATATTTGATTGTGAATGTTCTAACAGCAGCTAGAATTGTATTTGCAAAGAATTGGAAAAATGAGAAAATATCAACACAGGAGGAAGTTATTAAGAAAATAGTGGAATGTGCTGAAATGAGTAAATTGACATTTGAAATTAGAGAACAAGAAGAAAAACAATATTATAAGATATGGGATTTATTTTATCAATGGTTAGAAAAAGAAGTGTGGAAATGATATATTTTATAGATAACTTTACAATATAAAAATAATAGAATTTAAGAGAAAATGATATATGAGTGTATTTTTTATTAAATGAAGTGGCAATGGAAGTTATATTACATATTGGTTTAAAATGTTGAATATCCTATATGAAGTGGTGGAACAAATAGTTATTGTTAAATGAAAGAACCATAATGATAATACATATATACATATATACATATACATATACATATACATCATATACATATACATATAC